CCCCCAGGCCACAGCAGAGGCCCGGCCACAGACAGCCCCCTCCAGCCCTGTCTCCTCCGGTGCGGGGCCCCTCCCCTCCTGCCCGTGAGCTCCCCCCCCAGCCCACCTGCCAGAAGTCACTTCTCTCTCTTGATCCCGGCCCCTTGGCTCTTCCCCTGCCCCACCCGCGGAGGCTCTGCCTCACACCTACTCAGGCGTCCCACCCACTCCCTACCCCCTGCAAATGCCGGGAGAGCGTCTGTCCCCGCATAGAAGAACTGCGAGGTGTAAACTCAGGACCTGACAGGAAGGCGCTCCCCACGTCCTTCCCAGGACCAGCGGTCACTCCCGGGTCACTCCCTTCCAGCTGACCTGGACCATGCGCTGTGCCACAACGGCAGCCTGCATCCCCTGTGCCCTCCTGTGCCACAGGGTACTCGGAGCACCCCACACTGCCTGGCCCTCTGTGGGGACCCCGAGCCCACAGTGCCCGGCCCTCCGTAGGGACCTCTCCCTGAGTCCACACTGCCCGGTCCTCTGCAGGGACCCCGAGCCCACACTGCCCGGCCCTCCGCGGGGACCTCTCCCTGAGCCCATGCTCCCTCCCGCTCTCCCGAGCCCCTGCCTCCCACTGCCCTGTGTGGAGCACGGGCACTGCTGATGTTGTCCCATGTGTCTGAGACCCGGCTGTGCTCTGAGGCCCCAGCACAGGCACACCCTTGGCTCTGTTTTCTGTGTGTGAAAACGGGAAGCTTGGTCAGGGGAGGTTGGAAGGTGATCCTCAGCCGTAAAACCTGTGCCCTCTGGGAGCCCAGACGTGACAGCAGAGCAGTCCCCGAGCTATCACTGCAGACGCACCATGTGCAGGAGGTGGTGCCACACGTGGTGGCTCTCCGGGTGCCTGGGCAGGTCTTCTCAGGGGAGGAGGCAGGAGGGCTGGGACGAGGGTGGGAGGACTTGGAGCTGGGGCCTGGGGCACAGGGAGGCCTGGAGTCGGGGCTCCTGGGAGTGCGTGGCAGGCCAGGAAGCTGCCCCTGCAGCTGTGAAAGCGGGTGCCCTGTCCACAGGCATGTGATGAACGAGCTGCTGGACACGGAACGGGTCTACGTGGAGGAGCTGCTGTGCGTCCTGGAGGTGAGTGCGCTGGGGGCCCGGCCCACCCTGTGTGGCCTCACGTCACCCTGGGACAGTGTGTGCAGTGTTTGCAGCTGCACGAAGCAACGCCTGACCCTTAGGGCACAGATACAGACTGGGGGCCGGACAGGAGTGCGTGCGGCTCCCTGGGTGGGGGCCCTGGACAAGCAGAGCTGGCCCTGAGGCAGGGGGCTGACGCCTGGGAGGGACAGAGGGGCTTCCAGGTGCTGGAATGTTCTGTCCGGTGACCCGGGTGGTGGACGCAGGCATGCAGACAGAAATAATCCATCAAGGTGCACATCCAGTACTTGTCCCCTTCGTAGAAATTGTGCCTGAATTAAAAGTTTAGAGGGGAGTCAGAGGGAGCCCCCACAAGGTAAAACCGGTGCTGCTCGTAGCTCACTCGTGTTTCGTGGTGCTTCTCCGGAGAGTCACCTCAGGTGATCAGTGGGTGAATTCGAGGGGATCAGCCTCCCAAAACCGGAGGCAGCATCACTGCCCCCCCTGGCGGCCACGTGGAACCCACACTGCCAGGCCAGCTGCCGGGGCTGTGGTCCAACAGCCGGTGGTCTGTCCGCTGCAGCCCAGGATCCCCGCTGACCGCGTCCTCTCCCGCAGGGCTACGCCGCCGAGATGGAGAACCCTCTAATGACGCACCTCATCTCGACCGGCCTTCATAACAAGAAGGACATTCTCTTTGGAAACATGGAAGAAATCTACCACTTTCATAACAGGTGGGGACTCCTTCCGGTCACCCACGGCTCTGCCTGCAGGAAGCCGATGCACAAACGGGCCGGCCCTACTTTGCGGGAGGGGGTGGGGTCGGGACTGGCCCTCCTCCCTCTCGGGGGTAAGCAGACCAGGAAGCTGGTGGCAGACCCCTCCCAGCGCCACGGGGCAAGAGAGCACGGCGGCTGTGGGACCCGACCCACCCTCCTCTGGACTCCAGGAGGCTCTGGGGCGTCTGTCCAACCACAGGCTTTTGCTTCCGGTCATCAGCCTCCCTCACGCACCTGCTTGTAAAGGAGGCGGCAGGTCTGCAGCTGGACCCCAGCCTGGAGTCCACCCCTAGGAACTGGGACGAGCGGGTGGCAGGTGCCCAGCATCCTGGGCCCTGGTCTGGAGTCTCGGCCCATCCTCGGTGCTGGGCCCCTGGCAGCCTTAGGGGGCAGTGCTAGCATCATGAACTGAGCCCAGGGAGCTCCTCTCCCAACAGACGAAGGTCAGAAGCAGGAAAATTCGGTCCACAGGCCCAGGGCAGTGCTGCGTGGAGGAGGGTCTGAGGGCAGAGCCAAGGCCCTGATACCTCTGCAGAAAACCCACTGGGCACACGGGATGCGAGGGCTGGGCTCTCAGGGCCTCAAGACCCTCTGGCTGTCTGCTGTGGCATCCCGTGGCTTCTGCGTGACCGCCAACACCAGAGACATGGCGCAGCCACACGGGGCCCGGCCTGTGCAGAGTCAGGGCACGTGCCTGGAAAATAGCACCTAATAACTTGCTGCAGACGCCGCCTGACTCTGGGTGCTGTGCACGAGACCTAACGCAAGCTTTCTTTGTCTAGAATATTCCTGAGGGAGCTGGAGAACTACAAAGACTCCCCCGAGCTGGTGGGGAGGTGCTTTCTGGAAAGGGTATGTTCCTCTCAGCTGCAGGCTTGGCAGCGTCTTGCTGCTTAAAATTACTGCTTAGAGCAATAGTGACTTTAAATTCTATCACAGTCGTTCTCTAACCCACCGAAATCATGCGTACAGATGTTTCCAGTTTGGCTGAGGTGACCTGATGCTTTTGGGAGGGCCGGAAAAGCAGAGTTTTATCAAAAACCCAATCACTGGTTCAAAAAAGAGGAAAGCTATAAAATGGCACCCTTGAGAGATGCCGGAACTATAAAGTGTCCGGGTGCTGACGGCAGGTGTCGGGTGAAGCTGACTTCCCTGCAGGCTGGTGTGGGTTTCGTGCTGGTCCCGCCCGTGTCTGGCCGACACTGGACAGCCACTGGCGCTCTCAAGTAGTAGGTGTGGGCACGGTCTTGTGTCCCTGTGAGCCTGTGCCCCGCTCAGACTGGCCGTCAGGAATGATCCGCCCCCTCCCCCGCGCGCCCCCAGCCCTGATGCTGTTCGAGACTTGCCGGGTCGTCACACTGTAGCTCAGTGGTTGTAAGTGGCCCGTTCCCACAGCATCAGCACCTCCTGGGAGGCTGGGAGCGGTGCAGGTTTTCAGGTCACAGCCTGGACCTGCTGAGCAGGGCCTCCGGTGTGGGCAGCGGCCAGTGTTTATGGGGGGTTGTTAGGCCCACCAGCGTTATGATGCACGAAGTGTGAGCTGAGCCCGGCAGAGTCTTTCTTTACAAAGTCAGTGTTGGTCCTGCGTTTATCCCTGAGGCACAGCCCAGCCATGTGGAGCTGGTCTTTGTGAAAGAGGGACCAGGACGAGGGCAGCCCTGAGATGTGAACTTCCGGGCGGGGTGCGTCTGAGATGGGGGCTGACCCTGACTCAGGGAGAGGCCAGGCTGGGCCCAGAGGCAGAGACGCGGGGTGGGGGCATCGGAGGGGCTGACTGGGAAGGGCGGAGACCTGCACAGACACGGGGGCACCCCGTGATGCAGCCCGCATCCCGGTGCAGATGGAGGAATTCCAGGTCTACGAGAAGTACTGCCAGAACAAGCCGCGCTCCGAGAGCCTGTGGAGGCAGTGCGCCGACTGCCCGTTCTTCCAGGTGTGTTTCCTGCCCCTGAGCGCGGGCCTGCCTTTGCTGGTTGACTCCCTAACAAGGAACGGCGGGAACTGTCTAAACCCGAGCTTGGTGGTTGCAGGAATGTCAGAGGAAGCTGGACCATAAGCTAAGCCTGGACTCCTACCTGCTGAAGCCCGTCCAGAGGATCACCAAGTACCAGCTGCTGCTCAAGGTGAGACGCCGGAGCCCCCGGGGCCCCTCCCCCTCCAGCCTGGCCAGGTGCCCCCCGCAGCCCCCCTCCAGCTGGCCGCCCGCCCAGCACCACCCAGTGGCAGCTGCCCCAGCCAGTCCCTGAGCTCCGCGATGTCTGCGAGGCCCTGGCTCTTCACACTCCTTTGTGGGGTGTCACCGTTAGGGGCCAGGAACACAGCGGGACACAGGCAGGCCGGCCCTGCCCCACGAGCACATGCAGGGCCGCCTGCGTCCCACTGCCCTGGGGGCCCAGCGTGGGCAGCTCCCCAAGGCCCAAGTGAGAATGGGGTGTCGTGTCTGGAGGGAAGGAGTAATGGATCGGAACTAGGAGGTGGGTGCTCGTCCAGACCAGGTGCTGCAAGGGGACAGCGGAGGTCAGCCAATGACCTGCTCAGGGGACATTCACGATTTGCAGCCTCCACGCAGGCTGCTGGGAAGGGTGTGGGGCCGCAGGGATGGAGAGGGCGGCTTCCTGAGCTGCTCCAAGGCGAGGCCAGTGGGCCAGGCAGGCCCCCCATTTGGGGAGCATGTGTGTGGTCCCATCCCTGGCGGTGACAGCTGCACAGGGAACCACACACATGTCCCAAGGATCCGGGCTCGGGGCCACTCAGGGCTGTGCTTGTAAGACAGAGCACGGGCCACTCATGGAGCGGTGGGGCTCAGTGTCCAGATGGGCTGTTGAACCTCCCGCAGGAAATGCTGAAATACAGCAAGAACTGCGAGGGGGCCGAGGACCTGCAGGAGGCGCTGAGCTCCATCCTGGGCATCCTCAAGGCGGTGAACGACTCCATGCACTTGATCGCCATCACTGGCTACGAGGTGAGGGCCAGCGGCGCCCATGAGCCTGGGCATGCCGTCTGAGCAGGGTGGGCGGAGGCCACCCCGTCACCGGTGCAGGCTGTGCACCCGCACCACCCAGAATCCCACCGCCACCTGACTCTGACTGCCCAGCCGGCTGCAGGCAGCTTCCCCCCGGTGGGTGCGTCCCTGCACGGACAGCCCTGAGGACCCTGCATTCCTGGCCTGTCCCTGAATCCGTTCTCTCTGGCGCCGCTTGTGAGCGTGGAAGTCGGGTTTCTCCCTCATCCTCTGCGTGCCCACGTCAGGCGCACGCATGGGGCCTTTCTGAGTCCACCCAGCGTGCGTCCTCAGTTTGTTTGGTCTTTCTGTCAGTGGGCATTGTTTCTGGAGCCGTTTTAGGTTCACAGCAGAACTGAGGCGAAAGTACAGGGCTTTCCCGTTGACCGCCGCTCCCACACGCACAGCTGGCCCCACGGCCCCTGCCCCACACGAGCCGGGCCTCGGCCACCGTCCACAACACGGCATGAAGGGTCCACAGCGCACGCAGGGTCACTCTGCATTGTGTGTTCTGTGGGCCTGGACAGACGGATGACGCGTGTCCACCACTGCAGTGACAGAGCCTTTCGCTGCCCTGAACACCGCAGTTCCCGCTCCTCCCCCAGGGCCCCCAGGACCCCCAGCCATAGATGGCCTTCTTCCGCGTGTGGGGTCGTGGCCCTCCCACACGGCTCCGCGCGGCAGCACGAGGGCTCACGCCCTCCTTTGCCGCGCCCAGGGGAACCTGAGCGACCTGGGGAAGCTGCTGATGCAGGGCTCCTTCAGCGTCTGGACCGACCACAAGAAGGGCCACGCCAAGGTGAAGGACCTGGCCAGGTTCAAGCCCATGCAGCGCCACCTGTTCCTGCATGAGAAGGCCGTGCTGTTCTGCAAGAGGCGGGAGGAGAGCGGGGAGGGCTACGAGAAGGCCCCGTCCTACAGCTACAAGCAGTCCCTGAACGTGAGTCCGCGCGCCGCCCAGCGCCCCGCCGTACCCTTGGGGGCGGGGCCTGGGACCCCCGGCGTCCTTAGCCCCCACCCCAAGCCATGGCACGGTG